GAAGATGACAGACAGAGATCGAGATCGATATGAGCAAATTAAGTGCCCAAACCAATCACTTTTTATTGTTACTAACAATTTGGCAAAAGAAAGTAAAAGAAAAAGCTAGGAAGAAAATCAATTTGTTGCTAAGAAATAAGCCTTTGCAACGAAAAATTTCTGGAATATCATCATCTTGTATCTTGTAGCACAATGTTGAAGTTTGTGGTTTTAATTATATTAACAAGCATCCAAAGGTTACACAAAATATATAGAAGAGTTTGAGTGAGTTGCAAACTGCACTCAACACTCACGACAGCCAGCATAGGATGCCACACTAATCTCCTTAAATAATGCAAGACAGCTAATTGAGACATAGGGAGCCACACTAATCAACCACACTAATCTCCTTAAATCATGCAAAGCAGCCGGCATAGGGCCACACTAATCTTCCTTGAAATGAGGAGATAAGACCCTTACACAAGATGATAAGATCAAGAAGAAAATAGACAGCTATTAACTAGATAAAACCCTAATGAAGAGTAGTCATAAGTAACCGGAGGTCCTTCCTTCAATACTCCCCCTCAAGCTGGATCCAAAAGGTTGATGGATCCAAGCTTGCCAAGGAGAAGCTGAAATTGATGAGAGGCCAATGATTTGGTGAATAGGTCCGCAAGTTGATCCGAGCTCCTTACAAAATGCGTTTGGATAACCTGAGATTGAACTTGTGTACGAACATAGTGACAATCGACTTCAATGTGCTTGGTTCTCTCGTGAAAAACTGGGTTGGAAGCAATGTGCATTGCATCCTGATTGTCACATAAAAGAGACATGGATTGATGATTGAAAACACCTAAGTCACACAGTAAACCTTTGAGCCAAATTAGTTCACACACAGTAGATGCCATGGCCCGATATTCTGCCTCAGCACTGGATCTTGCAACGACAGTTTGTTTTTTGCTTTTCCATGAGACAAGGTTGCCTCCCACAAACGTGCAATATCCCATTGTAGACTTACGATCAATGGAATTGCCAGCCCAATCTGCATCACAATAACCTGTAATCTGAGTGCTTGTATTGTTCTTCATGATTATACCACGTCCCACAGAACCTTTTAGATACCGAAGTATCCTTTTGACTAGGTTAAAGTGTTCCATCGTGGAGAGTGCATAAATTGGCTAACAATACTGACAACATAGGTAATGTCGGGCCTTGTGATGGTCAGATATATCAACTTACCAACCAACCGCTGATAATAGCTTATGTTCGGAAGAGGTTGACCCTCTAAGCTGAGCTTAAGTTTAATGTCGAGAGGTGTAGGGACCAGTTTAGCATCACTCATGTTTTCTTCCTTAAGGAGATAAAGAACATATTTACGCTGGTTAAGGAATAAGCCCTTGTGAGAGGTAGCCATTTCGATGCCAAGGAAGTATCTCAGTACACCAAGATCTTTTATTGCAAAGCGTTGCTGAAGAGAATGCTTGAGTTCTTTGATTTCTTCAGGGTTATCTCCGGTGATGATCAAGTCATCAACATACACAAGAACAACCAATGTACCAGCGGTGCCTGAGCGTACAAATAAAGAAAGAGTCCGCATTGCTTCTTCCAAAACCAACACTGATAAGGACTGAACTAAGCTTAGCATACCAGGCTCTCGGTGATTGTTTAAGGCCATAAATTGATTTGTGCAGTTTACACACAACATCCTGTTTATGACTTTGAGAGTGACCCGGTGGTAATCTCATGTAGACGTCTTCTTCAAGCTCACCATGTAAGAAGGCGTTTTTTACATCCATTTGATACATAGGCCATCCTTTGTTGACAGCCACGGACAAGAGTACGCGCACTGTGTTCATCTTTGCAACCGGGGCAAAGGTTTCCTTGTAATCCACATCAAATGTTTGAGTGAAGCCCCGGGCCACTAATCGTGCCTTGTGTCTTTCTATAAACCCATCCGAGTTGAATTTAATCTTGTATATCCACCTGCAGCCTACTATTTTCTTTCCTTTGGGCAGTGGCACAATGCTCCAGGTTTTATGTTGATCGAGTGCATGCAATTCATCCTGCATGGCTTGCTGCCACACCTATGATTGGTTAGCTTCTTGAAATGATTGAGGCTCTTCATGTGCAGATATATTACTCAAATAGGCAGTATAATTAGGTGACAACTTTTGGTAAGAACAGTAGTTGGATAAGGGGTGTTTAGGCTTGTACGTAACAAAATCTTGCAATCTTGCTGGTGGGTGCCTCTCACGAGTTGGATTTCGTCGAGGTATGATAGGAAGAGACTCATCTGAGGATTCTTCAGGATGAATACTGCGTAGAGTTTCATCTTCCATAGGCATGTTGTTGTCGTCATATGGAGCCGGTTGATTTGGGGCCACAAGATCCATCGTGTGAGGTTGATCACCCACATTGTTGAGTATCTCAGTCATTGGCAGTGGAAACATGTCCAAGCTAATCTCCCCCTGACTTGTACTATCCAGAGACTTACTGTAATAAGAATTAGTTTCATGAAATTGAACATCATTTGAAACAATTAATCTCTTAAGTTGTGGATTGTAACACTTATACCCTTTTTGTGTGGACGAGTAGCCAAGGAAAATGCATCTAGTTGCCCTAGGATCAAGTTTGTCTCGATGTAAGGGCTGAACATGAACAAAACAGATGCATCCAAAGACTTTAAGGTGAGACAAGTCCACCTTTCTGTTCTTGACTATCTCTATTGGAGATTTGAACCCCAAAACCCTACTAGGTAACCTGTTGATTAGGTAAGCTGCTGTCATGACGCTTTGAGACAAAAAAAGTTTTGGTACATTCATTTGTAACATCAATGCCCTAGTTTTTTCAAGGAGATCACGGTTTTTCCTCTGGGCAACACCATTTTGTTGGGGTGTGCCAACACAACTAGTTTGATGTATGATGCCATTGTTACTCAAATATTGAGTCATGACTTGGGACATGTATTCGGTGCCATTATCAGACCTTAGGGTTTTGATTTGAGAAGAAAAATGATTTTTAACAAGGTTGTGAAAGTCCTTAAACACTTCCATCACCTCACTTTTTGATTTTAACAAATATAACCAGGTGGTTCTTGAATAATCATCAACAAAAGTTATGAAATATTTATAACCATCAAAAGATTCACTTGTTGGTCCCCATATATCAGAGTGTACAAGCTCAAAAAGGTGAAAAACTCTAGACATCGAAGACCCTAGAGGTAGTCTTGTTGCCTTTGACAAATGGCAAGTTTCACAGTGGGTTGATTCTTTGCCTAAGTCAGGAAATAAGGTGGACAAGATAGGTTGAGATGGATGGGCTAGTCGCTGGTGCCACAATGAGGCCTCTTGAATGGAGGTATAGATGGACTTTGACTTGGCATGAAACCCACAGGAAGAGTTTTTCGATATGTAATAGAGACCATCAATGTAAAACCCCTCACCAATCGTCCTCTTGGTTATACAATCCTGAAAAATGACAGTTTTTGGTGAAAAAATGGCCAAACAATTTAAGGAATTTGTGATTCTTCCCACTGAGAGAAGTTGAAATGGAAAAGATGGGACATATAGGGCCATAGACTCTATTTGATCTGATATCAGGTGGATTTTTCCCTTTCCTACAATCCTAGCACCTTCACCATTAGCAACAGATACATGTGAAGGATTATGTAGTTTCTCAAATTTATGTAACTTTGACATTTGATTTGTCATATGGTCTGTGGCACCAGAATCTACAACCCAAAAATCATGTAACTCATTTATTTTAAGAGCAGTTTGGAAAGCAGTTATAATACCTTTCAAGTCTGTCTGAGGTACACAATCAGCTTCAGCTAAAAAACCTGCAAATTTGCCCATCAATGCAAACTCATTTAACAGGTCCCTTATCTCTTCCCTTTTTTTGTTGGAGATACGATGCGAACTCATTTAACAGGGTGGCAGGATTTGCAGTAAACTGTTGATAGGTATCAAAACTGTTGATAGATGAAGATGTTGCAGTGTTGGCACGAGGGTGTGCTCGACTTGTCTTTGGTGCGGATTTATCCTTCATGAAGTCAGGTTTGAGTTCTGGATGTAGGATCCAACACTTGTCTCTCACATGCTCGATGTTGTCACAATGTAGGCACTTCAAATGAGGGTTTTTCCCTTTATACCTTTTTTCATTTGTCAGGTAAGCCCTAGCTTATGTCACGTTGATTTTTATACCATTGTTCATGACTTTTCTCCTTACTTCCTCACGTTGGATAGTTGCACAGACACTAGTGAAGGATGGTAGCTCCGGGTTCATGAGAATGTGACTTCTCAAATCCTCATATTCTGAGCTTAAGCTAGACAATAATTGAAATTTTTTATCTTCTTCAGTTCTTTTAAGGAGCACTGAGGAATCAGTTGTGTGAGGTCTGTACACATCTAACTCATTCCACATGCTTCTCAAGGAACCAAGATGTTGAACAAAGCTTTTACCTTCTTGCTGTATATTGGAGATATCCTTCTTGAGTTGAAAGATGCGAGCTGCATTGTTTTGATTGCCATACATCTCCTTCACGGTGGTCCAAAGAGTGAGAGACGACTCAGAATAGCTGAAGATTTCAGCAACCTTCCTTTCCATAGAATTTAACAACCATGACATGACCAATTGATCTTTACATAGCCACCCTCCAAATTCTGGAGAATAAGCATCTGGTGCAGGTTGACTGCCATTGATGAAACCAAGTTTGGATCTTCCACCGAGAGCAAGACTGACAGCCCTTGCCCATGGCAAATAATTAAACTCATTCAATAACACTGAACTGAGACGTTGGTTTGGATTGATATCCATTTCAGACGCGCTTATAGATGAAGAAGCAATGATGCTTACATCATCTGGACTTCCATCTGCCATTGTTTTTGAAAAAATAAACACAGCAGTTTCGATATACAGAATAGGCTCATAATGATGCCTGCTCTGATACCATGTTGAAGTTTGTGGTTTTAATTATATTAACAAGCATCCAAAGGTTACACAAAATATATAGAAAAGTTTGAGTGAGTTGCAAACTGCACTCAACACTCACGACAGCCAGCATAGGATGCCACACTAATCTCCTTAAATCATGCAAGACAGCTAATTGAGACATAGGGAGCCACACTAATCAACCACACTAATCTCCTTAAATCATGCAAAGCAGCCGGCATAGGGCCACACTAATCTTCCTTGAAATGAGGAGATAAGACCCTTACACAAGATGATAAGATCAAGAAGAAAATAGACAGCTATTAACTAGATAAAACCCTAATGAAGAGTAGTCATAAGTAACCGGAGGTCCTTCCTTCAATACACAATGTATGACACCGATTGCCGCAGGTGTCGCATTCCACCATCCTCTCACCGTCTTCCTCCTTGGCTGGGCATTTACAGAGGAACGTCTTCAGGTGGTCAAAACCACATTGGAACCACAGTTCATATCCTTCGCGTTGAAGCCATCCCCTATCAATTTAACTGGATTATCATTCAAAACCCTAGAAGCTGGTGTTGTATCACACAATCTGAGAAAGATGTCGGACAATTCAAAGCATTATGTTGGACAATTCAAAGCATTCTTTTATGAAATAGTAACTGTCCTTCAGTCCCTTCTGTGCATTTTCCTTCAAATCTCCAATAGTTGCATCACCTGGAACAACAACCACCATGTCTCCAATTGGTGACTCCCTTTCCTCTTGGATTTTCTTGGAGTGATGCTCATCCCTCCAATCAATGTTTGGCCATGGAATTTGACATATGAATGTCAGTGGCAAAGATTCCCCTTGTGCAGCAATGTCAAATTCTTTCACAAAATGTTTACAATTCTGTATAATTTGAACACACTCCTTTACTTTCTTTACTTCTCCGTTTGAGTCTGCTCCGGGTAATCCCTCCATCTTCACATAAGAGTCATAGAGACGTTTTATATCATTGCATGTACGATTGTATATTTGTCCTTCCCATGGTACCTCCTTCAGCTGCAAATGATAAACATCCCTACCATTGTGGTCCTTTGTGATTGTACGGGCAAAAATGTGATGTTCATCAACCACCACGTTGTCTAGGTTGGACAACACATGATCTAGAACGGCGGTAGCCCCTACTGATGGCCTGTTAGCTTGCTTGTTTGCTCGAGCCAAGTCAACCGCTGCTTCCCGTAACGCTTTTCGGGGCATCAAAGGAGCACCATTGCCTAGTATCTCCTTGAATTGATTCACTGCTATGCGGATTTTGTCAGCTTTGCATTTGCTATTGTCCTTGAGCTCCTTTATGTCATCAACATTCCTGCTATTCCTCTTCATATTTTCTGCCTCATGAATCATCCCAACAAGATGGGAGAGAAGATCTTTGAGCGTTCGAAAGTCCCTGTATCGCGAAAGTAATGCTTGCAACTGGTGGCCAAAGGAGGACTCGGTCATCTTTGAAAGCTCTAGTGACCCAATGTGGTTCAGTGAATCAACGTATGCGAAGCGACTGATCCCGTAGCTTCCACGATAGAACTTGTATCCCCACTTGTCAAACCACGAACGTCCGCAAGCGACTCCGAACAACAATCGAAGATCCATCCCAGCTTTCATAGAATTGTCTTTAACACAGATTGCTCTGCAGGAATCAAAAGATACAAGGATTCTAATCTGTTCACATTCTAATTACATAAATAATTACATTCCCAAGATGAGTTTTCGCAATCATACCTGGTCCTAAGAAGAGTACACATTCTGTCCCACAAGTCCATAATCTCAGTGCCACTAAGATGAGCAGAGCCCGCATCATGTCCCCTTATGCCCAATAAATGGCCGTAACCATCAGAGTGAATCAAGCCATACATGATGTGGTTCTGCAGATCAAGCACACCATTCTGTAGAGGCTTATTCCAATCCTCTTCCGACAGAATAATCACATGGTATGATCGGTTGCACAGGAGATGCTTGCTCCAACCTATATATACAACCAGAACCAATTAACTAACTGAACCCATGTATAAACAGATCCTAACAATCTACGAGTCCATGATGTGCCAGTGAACAAGACATACATCGAAAAATTTAAACTCAAGATACACAATCATTAACTACTAGAATGCAGGATAAAGAATCGACGAAAAAAGTAGGCAAACAAATCAACATATATACAATCTTTATCAAAAGATTGATGGATCAAAACAAACTACCATTTCATAATTAAACGTAAGGAAAAATTAACCAAGAAAGATTCAAATTTTCATCGAAACGTTCTACGGGCCATACAATATATTCAGATGTTTCAAGACTCCAAGCGTATTGAACAGCAGCGAATCTTTTATTTAAAACAGAGACAAACAATGAATCTTATTTACTCGAGCACTGCAAGTTAGTTTGTGTCACCTGTTATCCGGCAATGGTCACAAGTCTGTCGTTTGGACAGTTTCTTCACATCTTCTTCAATGATGTAGAGGGGGACCGTAACACCTTGTCCTTCCACTGTAAGCTGCCTGCGCCAAACGTTCATGCCATGCAGAAACTCACCAAGATTATCGAATTCTTGAACAAATTCCAAAACGTTGTCGCGGAATGCTCCCAAGAATCGATGAGGGCCACTGCAAAAGTTACTAAAAGGGTGTGTGGTTGACATAGGTGTTTCAAGATCTATATCAGGATAGACTATGTCTTGGAGTAAGTACTTTCGTTGAGGAAGAAAGAAACTAAACTGAAATTGTTGGTTGTGTTTGACGAGACAGAAGAAGCCGAGACTGGGTAATTAGATTTTGTACGTACGCTCTCTATATATATATGCATTAATATCTGAGCGAGTCCTCATTAGCAAAGGCAAAAAGCACACCAAATCAAGTAAGCAAATCTAAACTAGAAAACAGTACATACAAACTTAGCCAAAACTTGATTTAATTTCCTGTGTTGTTATCATACTCGTAGACTTATAGCATAAGCAATATTTATTTTCTTTTATTTCCTTTTCCCCCTTTTTTCTATTTTTTTTAAGACTGTCTAACCGAAGGGGCAACATTAAAATTTAGGAAACTTTAACGGAAAGCTACCGGTATTATTCACTTTAATGAAAAACCACATTTTTACACTAAAATGTCAATCCTGATACTATTACTTTACCCTTTATTTTGTCATTATTGTTTGTTATGCAAGAAATTATTTTTAATAAATTGTGTCCTGCCATATTCATGTAACATGTCTAACTAAAGACAATAATTTATTAGTTTTAAATCCGATTTTAGACAAGTTTGAAATCTCCAAATAATTCTTATACAAAATCCCCTTACAATTCTCACGCGCTTTTTCGTGGCGAATTCTTGTGAAGGATTTGTATTTCCTCGTGGGTTTTTGAGGTGCATGCTCTTCTTCCGCTTGGCTGTCAAGAAATAAATTAAAAGATCACTCACATTGGTTCTTCTTAGGCACATAACTAACAGTAAATTACTGACTTCAGTTATCCAGAAGTACCTTAGTGAGAACATTGATCACGGAGTCTCTGGAGCAAGACCTCATGTCTTCGCAAGCTGAGGAGCATTGCCTAGCTGTATCGCACTGTGATTCATTTTTGTTCTCGGCTTATGGACCTCGGGAGTGCGAGTACGAAGAAGGAGATAGCCAATTTCCCAACCAAACGGGCTGGGTATCAGGCCAAGCTTGCCCAGCCTGATGGCCGTCCGTGGAGTTTGTGCCATAGAACTCGTCAGTTACAATTACTTGTTCGACATTATACTTACATTCTGCCCTTCTGAAGGGAACATCCACTCTAACAATTCCGTCTCTGTCTACCAAAATAACCGGAAATGTTTCAAAGAAAAGTAGCATACTACGTACAAAAAGTTCGCGTCCCTCTTTATTTCTACCCATCTACCCAAGTATGATAGTTCAATCACTTTATTTGATACGCAATAAGCCTTTTGCTACAGCTCTGGAGCTGCCAGCTAGCTGCAGCATATTGCACCTACCTATACCCATTGTTAACCGAGGTTACGAAATCTTAGGTTCAGAACTTCAGAGTGTGGATTTCATATAAAAAAAGGGGTTCAAAATACCGACTGACTCTTTCATCTATTTGCTGGCCTGTGACCAAGGCATAGGCGGATTCCGTACTTAGTGCAATTAGCCTCTTGAAAAGGCTTGATAGCTCTGATATGGGCTATCAAGTTCAAGGCCCTACCCTTTCTGGGGTAATTTCTCCCTTTATTAATACTTTTAGGGTAGCGCAATTCCTTAAGCCATCGACTTTCTTAGAGCTGTAGCAGCTGGGTCAGCTAACATATTTGTTTGTGAGCGATTTACGTACTTTGATTACTAATCTAAGGAGTGCCTTCCCAGTACAGATGGACACCACTAAATTTTATTTATAGAGTGCTTAAAGTAAACTGAAGTCCATAGATTATTTTTGGGTGAAAAATGAGAATTTCACAAGTTAATTACCACTGGGGTCATTCATAATCAAACCAAATAAGAACCTAGCTTGCTACTTAAACTTGAAAACTAGCAGGTAGGGAACAATCCGACATTTAGATTTAAATTAACTTTATAGAAATTTAGAACAATGCAACGTTAATTAGAGGTGCAACAAATACAGAGCTAGACTTTGGCTTAATTTGCAGCAACATGCAATAGGTGTAACACGGGAAACTGGAAGTTAGCAGAATTCGTTAGACGGTGGTACAATCCAAAGGGCAGCTGGATTATTAATGCTCCGAGGACTTGGAGAGTAGTGTCTTGCGATGGTCTCATCCTCTAAATTGAAGATGCCCATGTCACTTGGTCCGTTGTAATAAAAATACTGCGGTTCGTCCGCAACTTCTTCCAAATCATCGGTGTAGTATATGCAATTTGGTTGAAGCCCGGGATGGTCTGAAGCCAATACAGACATTGAATAGTTGTCACCCACAAATATGGCCTCACCACCAATGCTTTTTACCTCAACTTGCTCCACAGCAGATTCGTCCTTCCCCTTGAACACCAACTTGTGAACATGGAAGCCTTCAGTCCAGAACTCCTTGGCCTCCTCTTTCAAAAATCTTCGAACATGCAATAGGTCTCCCTTAGTCGATTCCACAAGATATCCCTTAATTGCGAAGCGACTATGGTTAGGTGTAAGAACCTTTGCTTTTGGCGGCTTGCTATTAAAGTTGAATGACCAAATCGCTCCCGATTGACCAACTCCGTAGACTTGGTTTTTATAAATTATAGCATCACTGAGATAGTTCTCTTGGTTGTCGATGTAAGTCCAACTCTTTTGTCCCTCTTCAAAGAAAGCCAACCTATGATCACTATGATCACTTATTCTGTCGTAGATTGCTACAACAGCATATTTACTGTCTCGATTATTCATAGCAGGCTCACCGTGTAAGATAACCTTTGGGAACCAACCATAGAAATAGAAGGAACCAGAAGGACCGGCATTGGGGTTATCCAAGGGAGGGAGAAGAACGGGAGCCACTGCTTTTCTGAAAGGGTTCATGAGAGTCACGGACAATCGAAGTTTGTCTAGTTCATCTACTGAGACGAGTAACAAAACATTTTTGTACACTTTTCCATCGGAGACCCTGTACAGTTCTCGCTTTCCTTGAGGACAGGAGGATCCCTTTCCCTTGGTATATCTTAAAAGTGGGCGGATCATAAGCATGGGAAGTGACTTACCACAACGTTTTGTTGTATCTTTATATTCTTGAGCAAAAGCATGCCAATCCTTGCAAACAACATCAAAGCGGACAAGGTCAAGCTGCTCCAACAGCTTATCCATAATCAAAACGAGAGCAGGAGAGGGAAGGCTTGCCCAGTTGGCAGATGAGCAGTGACGACGACGTTTGGAGGAAGCACCCACGTTCTCTGTCTCCCATTCGCCAGATGAGCGACCCCGACAGCGTTTCAATGTATTTCCCGTGTTCTTCCTCTCCCTACAGTCCGCAGAGGGGAGACGACAACGCTTTGAGGCAGCACCCATGTTCTCCCCCTCGGGGTCGGCAGATGAGGGACGACGACGTTTCAAGGTAGCGCTAGCACCCATGTTTATTTTATTAACGAACTTCTGGACCTAATTAAAAACCGTGTTTCGGAATCAGAAAATATGAAAATAAAACGAAATCCTTCAAACAATATTACAAAATCAGTAGAAAAACCAGAAACTAGAATAAGAGAAAAGGAAAATAACTGGGATAAAAGAGATTCCAAGGAGTGTACAAAATTCAGAGATGAACTTCTATGTGAATTGAAGGAGAGAGAGAGAGACCCGCGGAGAGAGAGAGGGTTTGAAGGAGATCGAGAAACCAAGATGGCTTTGAAAAACGCCAGAGAGAGATCGAGAGAGAGCGGGGATAGAATGATTCCCAATGTAGTAACTTTTGTATCGGGTCTCCAGTTTGTAATTCGGTTTTTTTACCCGGTTGTAATTGTACTACATCTACCCCGTACATTTAAAGGAGAAAAAAAGAAAAAAAGGGGGGGAAGGAAATAAAGGAAAAAAATATTGCTTATGCTATGGTCATTTATTGGTCATTCGGGGACGTGATGCGGGCTCTCTCTCTCATCTTAGTGGTCCTGAAGTGGATTGAAGAAAGTTAGAAGTTCCTTTGGCAATATAGGGAGTAGTCGAACGGTTTATAATTCCTTGTACGGTTTGCATGGTTTGGTCTCTCATCGATGTGAAACTTTGTACTCATATTCTCACATGAACATGAGTTATTGGGTAATGCTTAGGAGACTAAATTTGAGAAACCAAAGGACATAGAAGTTGATGATTGGTTTATTACTTAAGCATTGATAAACGTGCTTATCCTTATTGGTGACACATCATTTAATTTGCAAATTTAATTTCTCTAACATTACCTTGAGTTATTTAATGTCAATAATAAAACTCTTTCACGAAGCTATTATTAAGATTTCCATGTAAGAGTTCATCTATCAAGAAAGATTCCAACAAATTAATTAATAGATTAAGAGCCAATTGATTAAATTGACATAAACATTATAACTGTGGAGAAAATCACTTCCCATACACTATAAGAATAGAGAGAAGTTACATTTGAGTGGCATATGCATGAATCAAAATATTATGTACATGTCATGATGAATTCTTTCCTGATAGATAATAGATAGGAATGTCAAGATTTGGATCGTGACATTTTGTTTAAAGAAATGACGTGATATTATTTAGGGCATTTGTCATGTATATACAAGGAATTGTTATTATCTTTTCAAAAATTTCATTTTACACTTCTTACAAATGTATTTTCTTTCTAAATAAAAAATATTTGAAGTGCAAATAACAATTCCCGTATATATATAAATATATGTGTGCACATTCAAATCCAATGGATATTTACTCGTTTGAGTGATGAACGGTTGCATGTCAAAATTAGCAGATGACTTCTAGAACGCTTGCTCAGTTGCTTGTAGTAAACATTTTTCACCCCGCAACTAATTATTGTAGTTAGGCTAATAGTGTGATACACATATTAATCAGTTGTCCGGGATAAACAAACACACTCCCTGCAGATGAGCAGTGACGACGACGTTTGGAGTAAGCACCCACGTTCTCTGTCTACCATTCGCCAGACGAGCGACCCCGACGGCGTTTCAAGGCAGCTCCCGTGTTCATCCTCTCCCTGCAGTCGGCAGAGGGGAGATGATAACGCGTTGAGGCAGTACCCATGGTCTCCCTCCCCCGGTCGGCAGATGAGGGACGACGACGTTTCAAGGTAGCACTAGCACCCATGTTCCTTCGATCAACGAACTTCATGACCTAATTAAAAAAACAATCAGAAAGAAGTGAGAGGGGGATTGGAGGAGATCGAGTGAGAAGTGAAATTTTAAGTTTTGGTTTTGAACTTTTATTTTACCTTTTTCGGTACATAATTTTTTCTAAGGAAAACTAATGAAAATGACTTGAAAACTTTGAGTTTTAACTATAAGGACAAAATAAAGGGTAAAATAAAAAGTATTAGGTTTGACTTTTTAGTGTAAAAAATGTGATTTTTCGTTAAAGTGAACAGTACCACGAGTTTTTCGTTAAAACTCCATTTTTCCTATGGACATAATACAACATGCTGGCTTTAATTTTTTTTTTTTTCACAATCCTACAAGAATATGGAAGCCCAATATCCTATAGGCCCAAATCCAATAACTTGTACAGGATTTTAAATTTAAATTCATATTGTCAAATTCCATGCAATTTTTATGATTTTGTGGTAAGAAAGTGAATAACATGATTTATCAACATCACACAATTTTCAAAGTTTGATTTAGCATGATTGAAATGTAGGGCTGGAAAAAAATCCCAAAAATACCAAACCGAACCGAAAAATTTCCGAAACCAAACCGAAAAATTCTCAAACCGAAGTTCCCGAAAATTTCGATACCAAATACCGAACCGATCCCGAAATTTCGGTACGGAAATCGGTCTCAAGTTTTTGGGATTTCGGTATTCCCAAACCAAACCGAAAAAATATATATATATATTTTTTAATTTTTTAAATATATATTTAGAATTTTAATAACCATTGGATTATGTTGATATTTAATCTCAACCGTTGCATATAAATCAAAGTTACCCCTGTGTGTGTTTGACTCTCTATCTCTCTCGGTCTCTCGACTCGACATTCACTCACACACACACGGACCTCAGTCTATCTCGACCCACATTTTCTCTAGATGCTTCCCCCACCGTTTCACTCTAGACCCGTCTTTTCTCTGCTTGACTCATGCTCTTCCCGTTTTCCTCCTCGCCTCACTCTTCTCTGCACCAAGCAGCTCGATTTAGGGTTTCACCATTTCTCTTCGAATCAAGGTCTCTATTTCTCTCCGTATTTTGCCAATCTAGGTTTCCCTCTCTCTGTGGAAAAACCCTAGATCTCGCCACTGCCGGAGATTCGAAGCTCGGCACTTCGAGGTTCAATCCGCCTTGCCGATCGCCTCCTCTCGGTGCCTTCACGGAACAACCTGCAACACCAGTCGACATTTCAGAGCCTGCGTCTTGAACTCTCTTTCTCACGGAACCACCGCCACCACCATCTTTTGGGCTCGAATTTTGTGGGTTCTGAAGAGCAGCAGCGACATGCAAATATGTGGTACCCTTTTCTTCTTTCTGTATATTTTTTTTTGTTTAATTTTGTATTTTTTATTACATGCATGGTGGATTTATCGTTGGTAACTATTAAATCGCTTTTGAATTGTGTTTAATTTGGATTTTTGTGTTTTGAATTTTGAATTTGCAGCCTGATCTTCCACTGGAGCATCCAAATTTTGCATTTGTGTATCTAATGACAGAAACCTTTACAAATTCAAAATTTGAAGCCTCTGTCCATATACTTGCAACCCAAATATTGTTAAAAACGAAGAAACAATGTAAAAAATCCAAATTTTACATTTGGTTATAGCTTTTGTGTAAACGGAGCTTCTACTGAGCTCTTAGTTATGGGTACGTCTTTGTTTTCATAATCCTTTAGAGGTTTTGGAATTTTGAGATTTTCTTCGTGGATTTTGTTAATTGGCTTGCTTTGTTGTGAATTTTCTGTTTTATTATATTTTATTTATTTATTTATTTTTAATCTTTAACTGATAGTATGATATGTCTTTCAATTTCTAGCTGTTGATTTATGTTGTGATCTTTTGGTGATTAATCGGGTAATGATTTGCATATGATTATTTATAGAATATTCATAATTATTTCACAAGATTTGTGCTTGCACGCATATGCTATTAGGAGAAATTAAATAGGCAGATCACATAGCTATTGTGCATAGATTCACATTGCAAACTGCACAGATTGGGCTACAGATTGTGCACAGATTGCACAGATTGCAGATTGCAGATTTTAGTCCAAGACCACAGATTGGCAGCCTGCCCAAAAGCCCAAATTTTCAATATAAAAGGTTGAATTTTAGCCCAAAAGCCCAAAACCATTTCAGGATTCCCGATTTGTCCCGAAATCCCGAAACTATTTCGGGATTCCCAAAAATTGGGATTCCCGAAAATTTGGTTTGGGATCGGTATTGAAATTGGGATTCCCGAAAATTTCAGTTTGGGAATCGGGACAAGGGTTTCGGTATGGGATCTCATACCGAACCACGCCTATTGAAATGTATGAACTTTGTTTTTATTGTGAAGGAGGTAAAGATAATAAACTTGCGCAAACTTCCCAATCACTTATTTGTTAGTTTTCTTTTTTTTTTTTTTTTTTTCAAATGATAATGGTGAGGGGATTCAAATATAGAAATAAAATTTAACTTAATATACCAACATTTTAATTACTTGGTATAAACTCTTTACGTTATGACATGAGATATTGAAGTGAATTAAAAATTGACCAGAAACCCACTAAAAACACTAACAGGAATGCTCTTCATCACTTCAGTAAGTCAGCGCTTTCTGCGACAACATTCTAAACTTTGCTAAAAAATGGAATGATCTTTGTAAGTTTTGCAAAGCTTTCTGCGACAACATTCTAAACTTTGCTAAAAAATGTAATGATCTTTGTGAGGTGGTGCATGGTATAAGAGTCTGGTG